TATACTGTGAAGATTCAATTCAGTCCAGTGTGAGTGATGAGAGTATATCGTCGACGATGCCCCATGTTCGGATGATATTTTTTCACATTTTGATCTCAAAAAACAAATACAATATCAAAAATACTGATAAAAATCAAAACCTAGAATAATAGTACGACTACATTTCTAAAAATAATAATGAAAATACTTTTCGTACACATCGGAAACATGTGGTTTTTGACCCCAAGTGTGACTATATCATTTGCATATGAATATACGTTTGGCAAAAAGCGTTTGACACCAGGGCTTACGGCTTTGTCTTTATAGAACTGCTTTGTTTTTTTAAACGATATCCAACCAATGAGAAACAACAGGGGATTATCCCGGGAAATCGGCGTTATTACAATGCATTTGTAGATTTAACTAGTTAGGCAGGAAACTTTACAGTCTGTGAGAGCACGGTTTTAGTAACCGTGGTGAGAGACTGAAGAAATCAGATCACGGGATAAATAATAGTATCGCGGAGGAAACACATAGCGTCGCCGGCAAATTCGATCGCGTCGCGGCCCACGACGCTGTTTTGGCCTGGGGAGAACACTGTACTTCCTGTTCAGAGTGTGTTCTACATGTGATTTTATTGCGTTCAAGGATGTCTTAGTTCAAGCTACTTGAAACCTGAAATTACACGAGAAATTTCTGCTGTCTGATATTATCATTTGACTCACTAAAAATATTTCACTGAAATATTAATTAATAAAAAGCAAAATACAAATTGTACTGGTAAATAGAAATATCAAGTTCACTAGTGTGAAAAGGCGATGGAGCGCTATTTTAGCCCAAATCGGCTAGTAGGCGTCATATTACACAGGTCTGTGCTGAGACGTCATCCATCGTTTTCATTGGTTAATTAGCGATTTCACCTGTCAGGTCAAAAAACACCGTCCCAGGCAGTGTTGCATCCAGGATTTTTTTGTTAGGAGACAATATGTTCCATGCACGTTAATTTTGTGAGACATTTGCATTTTTTGGGAGACAACATTAGAGCAGTTCAAAATCAATTTCAACCAACTTTATTTCTCAAAGGCAACATCAAATGACATCAGTGACAATACATGCAGTCTCTCTGCTTCTAAGCGGTTTTGCGTCTTTGTTTTGATTTTATTTTGTACCGAAAATCCACGTTCACAATCAGCGGTTTGTACTGGCAAAACCAAAACTATTTTCGCATGTTTAAGCAAATTAGGAAGTAACCACGGTGATAGGTGTACAATAGTTTCCACAAAAATGCCATATTTCAGGTTTTGTTCCCAGCTAGCCTGATATCGGCGTTCAAACGTCGTGGTTACTTAATGACTTGGACCTTTTCTGCAATAAATTTGAAGCCCCATTACTTGGGGAAAAAAGCGTAATACGCTTTTGTCGCCCTGCCGTAAGTTGCCGACTCGTTATGACTTGCACGTTCGGTAGTTGCGCGGCAACAACTAAGAGTTTTACTTGTATCCCTGACAATGTGACTGGGGAACACCATCGACGCAGTGCGTCTTTCTGCCAATCAAATTTGTGTAAAAAAT